ATGAAGTAAGTAATAGCAAATAAGTCACCTGACGGCTGGCAGGGGTAAGACCCAGCTCCCCCAACTCAATAGTTCATTCGATGGAGGGGATTATTCCAATCTGGAGCCTTGGTCGCTGGATCGCCTCGGCCATTGGAGAAAACCCGGTTACTACAAAGAGTTCGTGTCATGCTGGCTCGGGAAGCTCGGGGAAAGGCCGCGTGATTTCTCTTGGAGGAAGTTGGAGAAAGTGGGAAGGCCAACAAACCCCAGACTCTCGCAAGCCAGGATTTATGTCCGGTCCTGTCTGCGCTAGTGGATAAGTCCGATATTTTGGTCCGGTGTGGGTCTTTCAGCCTTGATGTTTGAGAAATCAGGGGAACCCACATTGTTCCCCATGGGGCCATCAGCCTGGCTCACACGTTCCGCAACCACCTCTGAATACTTAAGTATCAAAACCCGCGGCTGTCATCCTCGTCACTCCCAGTCCCTTCGCTCTACCCATCATCATCATCATTTTTGGGCTATATACGAAAGTAGAATCCTCATCGGAATTTCTTTTTCTTTACGACCTAATTGTTGACGGCAACCACGATGGCGGACTGCAAAACGAGTCCTCCTGCGAGCTCTTACGCCAATGCTAAGGCAGCTGATGCGGAGAGCCCCATACACCTCGAGGACAGCTTCTCGCACGACGCGGATATCACCACGATCAGCTATGACACCAAGGGCATCAGCGGGATAATCCGGTCGCCGTATGTGTTTGGTGCCGCCCTCCTGGCCTCCTTCGGCGGCTTCTCCTTCGGCTACGATCAAGGCGTCATTTCTCTTATCCTCACCATGCCACAGTTCCACGAGCATTTCCCCGAGGTTGCCCCGGGTCACTCTCGCTATGGTTTCAATACCGGCTTCATGACTGGTATGCTGGAGTTCGGTGCCTTTGTTGGCTGCTTGGTCTTTCCCCTGCTTGCCGATCGTTATTCCAGGAAACGGGGCCTCGCCATAGCGACAGTCTTCTTTTGTGTTGGTGCCATTATCCAGACAGCTGCACATAACTATGGCACTCTCGTCGCCGGGCGCACCATTGGTGGTATCGGTGTCGGCACCCTTGCCATGGGAGCACCGTTGTACATATCCGAGATCGCGCCACCAAATCTCAGAGGCTCTCTGCTCGTCCTCGAGGCCATCTCTATCGTCATCGGGGCCATCATTTCTTATTGGATCACGTACGGAACCCGGGAGATTGCAAACGATTGGTCTTTCAGGTTGCCCTTCCTCCTGCAGATGGCGCCTGCCCTGATTGTTGGTATCGGCATTCAGTTCTTCCCTTACTCGCCAAGATGGCTGGCCATGCGTCACCGCGACGAGGACAGCCTGCGGGCGCTCGAGAAGCTTCGACGCCTTCCTGCGTCGGACCTTCGCATCCAAACTGAATGGAAAGGCATACTTCGCGAAGTCAAAATCCAGGAGTTTGCGCTGCAGCGCGAACATGGCAGTAACACCAACCCTGTCGTCCTTGAGTTCAAACAGTGGGGCGATCTCTTCAAACCCAAGTGCCTGCGACGTACAGTGGTTGCGCTTGCTATTCCTTTCTTTCAGCAATTCTCGGGTTAGTACTAAGGCATCATATAAAATCACGACAGCAGTGAGACTAATTAGAACGTCAGGTATCAACGCTTTTGTGTACTACGCACCCATCTTTTTCGCCGCTCTTGGGCAGAGCTACGAAATGTCCCTCATTCTGAGCGGCATGGTTAATATTTGCCAGTTTGTGGCCGGGATCCCTACGTTTCTGTTCCTCGACCACATGGGGCGCCGCAAGCTTGCCATCTTTGGAGGCATCGCGATGGGTATTCCGCACATCATCATGGCCGGTATTGTCAACAAGTACAACAACAAATGGGAGAACAACCCAGGAATGGGCTGGTTCGGCGTGGCCCTAATCTGTATGACCTCCCATTCACCCAAGTAATCTGCTCTGTGCTAACAAGGCAGACATTTACGTTCTTGCATACGCCTCTTCATACGGACCCCTGGCGTGGACTCTGCCGGCCGAAGTTTTCCCAAGTTCTAAGCGCGCCAAGGGTGTTGGTGCTGCGACGGCTATGGTATGGCTGGCAAACTTTATTATCGGCGTCATTGTCCCTGAGATGCAGCTCAAGCTGGGCTGGGGCACCTATCTTTTCTTTGGTTGTTTCTGCTTTGCAGCCGCGGTATTTTCATTCTTCTTCGTTCCGGAGACGGCGGGCAAAAGTTTGGAAAGTATTGCAAGTGTGTTTGGAGACAGGCTCGATAATGAGGAGCGTGAGCTCGAAACAGAGGTTGCTGTGGTGCCGTGAGCACAAGCAACGCACATCACAGTGAGGTGCAAAATGTACGAGATTGGATTGCGCGGCTTGCGAAGACAGAAGTATACACACACCTGAGAGCACAGGAACAGCAGAAATTTGCAACGTGTAAATTCCTCGGTCATGCTATTTGCCCATCAGATCACTAAACATATCCAACAATTTTTAACAAAAGTTATCGCAGAAGCAATTGCAGATTTATAGTGTGCAGATTTGTAGTAGTGGCGCGAGGACTCATACTAGGATTCAGTGACTTACCGGATCTCCTGACTCGCACAAGACTATACATAGTACTGCTAGGCTTGAGGGACTTATAACAGATTCGCCCTATCGCGACAAGATACTGGGCACCGTTCTAGAGGGAGTATCTGGCATACGGGGTGGGATACATAGGAATAGACTTGCAAGAAGGGTGGTCTATGTGGATCTCTCTTCTTCTACTTTCATAGCCTACAGCCAGATTGCGTGTTTGATACCGCTTTCCAATCCTTCTTCTAAACTAGCCACAAGAGTCCAAACGTCGCCTCTCTCTCCACTGATGCCATAGATCTCAACTCCGCCTCCCTCCTGTCCACCCAGTACGACATATTTCCCGTCATCGCTAAGGCGCATACCGCGGATGGTATCAAGACGTGTTCGGACGTGCTTGATATCTTGCACTTTCTTGCCGTCATCTGAGAGCAGGATTATGGCAACAGCATCTCCTGGTGGCAGCTCCTTGGGGACGTCTTCGAGATGAGGTTCACGCTCTGCAATATGCCTTTCCCACCGGTTGCTAACATACAGAACAGTCGAAATATTCGGGTGCAGACAGATCTCGGCGGAGTCCATCATGAACTGATGTTTGGGATGGACAGTCGGAGGGATTACATTAGGCGCAAAGCCGTCGATGGGCTGAATGTCTTCGGCAAGACAAGATGACAAGTCGAAAGCAACAACAGTGTGTGAGAGCTCTCCGATGACGTACATGAGTCGTCCTATAGGCTGTATTAGTTGGAACTTGTATGATGGGGCTGCAAGGGTTGAAAGACATGCCATCATGTGTGATCTGGGCATGCCGAGCGCCTGTTCCGGGAGGACATTGGAGCCAGCCACATGTTTCCAACTTCATCTGTTCACGGCGAAAGATCCACACCCGATCCGACCCTAAGTCTGGAGCGTACAGCAAACCTCTCCTGTCTTCGAGTATTTGATGCACGTGGCATTGCCGCTGTCGTCTTTGGTCCGGGCCGTGCCCAGATGACTTGTAAGGGAATTCCAGCAAAACCTCTGTGCGAGGGTCATTTGTAAGTAGTAGTCCATCCTCCCCCGTAAATGAGATAGGATAAAGAGCAACAGAGCCTCCTAGATACTACTCATTGTGAGCGTAGGCGCCGACACTGCCGTCTTCATTTGTTACTCACGGTACCAAGCGCCAAAGCATCCCTAGTGTGTAGCGTGATGACTGTGCGACAAACATGAACAACTATATCTAAGAGGACGGAAACACGCACGCACGCATGCTCGCTTACAATGTGCAGGTGCTCCCAGAGTTGGTTGTTGGCTTGTGATCTTGCAGGTCTTTTGCGCGTGGTCGATTTCGAAAGTGTACAAGAGACCAGATTCAGTACCCTCGGACAGCCCAACCAAGCGATCAACGTCTCCATGCCAAGACGAGGGCTCCACCCAGGAAGTATTGAAGACTCCGGGATAATTCGCGTGCACGTTCAAGCTCTTTTCGTCGAGGTCAAATATGAGCGTGGTAAAGTCGGCTCGGTCGCCTGAGATCATGAGCTTGCGTTTCATGGCGTACGGAGCAAACTGTTGGAAGGGATACGAGATGATTCAATTCTAGGCTGGCAGGGCCAATAGCATTTCAAGTAGGGATTTGATCAGATAGGCGATAGTAGTAGCTTGTAACAACCTGGCCGGTCAAATGATTGAGCGCTGCTTTGAAATTTCCCAACAGCGTATGTGGGTGTGTACCTTGACCTACTATTATTACCCTAGACCCCAACACACGCCCTTACACCCGATAAAGTTTGTCTCACTTAACTCATCATACCGCGGAGAAGCAAGCATGTCACTCCGATTGTACGGTCATAGCAACGGCGCCATCTCTAGTGGCGCATCGGAGATAATTGCTTGTTTAGTAGAAACCTTAGCCCGCATGTCGGAAAAGTCCGATCTTTGGCCGCCCTCGGGCCCATGATTTCATCAACTCAAGGCCGATGGAATTCGTCCCGATTCATCGGGCCGGACGATGTACCCCTTACTACGTTTAGCCTGCACAAGTAGTTGCTCGATGACGACGCACATGAGGTCTGTTTACCTACATCTTCGACTCTCTTTCTTTTCCAATCTCCAAACGAAACGCCAAGGAAATCAGCACTTCCGAAGTACAATGGCCCGACTGCCGACTCACTTCACACTCAACACGGGGGCCAAAATCCCTGCCGTTGGTCTTGGTCAGTCTCGAGTGTCGATATGCTTGACACCAACACAGTTCAATCCCTAACGTTCAACGTATGCACAGGTACCTGGCAATCTAAGCCAGGCGAGGTTCGACACGCTGTGACCTTTGCCCTCAAGAATGGGTACCGTCATATTGACGCAGCTCTGTAAGCTAGGCACGCACATCTTCGTACCCCACGCAGCTTCGCTAACTAAATATACATCTAGTATATATGGTGTGCTACCCTGAATGGCCCTGAGCGCGTAATTCGAGAGTCCTCTAACATCCTGTCTAGGCAATGAGCACGAAGTCGGTTTGGGCATCAAAGACAGCGGGGTGCCTCGTGAAGAAATCTTCCTCACTAGCAAGCTTTGGAATACTCATCATCCCTGTGTAGAAAATGGTCTACAGAGAACTCTCGAAGCTTTGGGGGTGGACTATCTTGACCTTTATGTAAGGCCTTGCAGGCTATTGTTCTTGCTGTCGTGCCTCGCTTTGGTAAGGTTGACACTGACATATCATGCTCATTAGCTTATCCACTGGCCCGTTCGATTAGTCCCAGTAAGTACCTGTCGCGCAGCCGCGAAGATCCTTGATAAGAACGTTCTAATCGTGTCACAGAACGAGTCGAGTGAGCTACTACCGGTCAACCCCGATGGTTCCCGAGCGGTTGATCGATCGTGGAGTCAGAACGAGACATGGCGCCAGATGGAAGAGGTATACAAGTCCGGCAAGGTCAAGGCCATAGGCGTGGCGAATTGGTCAATTCCCTACCTAGAGGAGCTCCGCAAAACATGGACAGTTGTCCCAAGTGTGAACCAAGTCGAACTGCACCCTTTTCTCCCTCAACATGAGCTCCGACAGTACTGCGACAAGCTCGGTATCCTGCTCGAAGCATATTCTCCTCTCGGTTCTACTGGTGAGTTCCAGATTCCCGTAGACATGTTGCAGCGGGAGTGAGTTGGGATGATGCTAACGGCTATCGACCGTGGCAGGCGCGCCCATCATGTCAGATCCCGACATCCAGCGAATTGCGGACAAGAACGGTGTCTCTGCTGCTACGATCCTCATCAGCTACCATGTGAACAAAGGCGTCGTGGTGTTACCCAAGTCTGTGACTGAAAAGCGCATCTCCTCGAACAAAGAAGTTATTTCACTCTCTGAGGAGGATTTAGCCGTGCTCGACGGATTGGCTGCCAGTGGCAAGGCGAAGCGTATCAACACTCCTCTGTGGGGCTTCGATCTCGGTTTTGCTGACTGGTATGGTCCGATCACGTCGTAATAATCCGGGCGGTTGGCAAGTCTATATAGAAGCAAAGTCGAAAATATAGACGTATTCTCCCAGATATGGGACTTGCCGAGGCATTCAAAGTCAATTTGATGTAAGCCTGGGCCCTGCAGGCAGACGGGAAAAACAGCTGAACTAGAAGTATATACTCGTGCAAGGTTCCCTTTTTGCTTTCAATTATCGCCAAGTCTTGATATAGGCTGATGTCACAGCCATAACCTTACAGAATTAAGTAATCAACGCCCTTATATGCGGGCACGTACATTGGGACTCAGGTCGTGATAGAACTCCCAGCTTTGACATCCCCTGGATCCTGAATGATCAGATATAAAGCCAATTGCGCAGCATTCGACGCCGATTACTTAGAGAATCGCATGCCCTTAGGCATAAAAGCAGGGTAAGTGTATTCGGGTTGGCCAGTCTCTTACACAAGCGGTATGGCTAGTACCAGTTCAGATTGTAGGGATGTGACGGACCGTAGAGCGCATACGAGCATATAATTAGGTAATAGAAAGTTCATTAAACTATATCGATCATACAAAAGAGAATTAGGATGCTCTCACACCATATATATACTATATTGACCCCTGTCAGAGGCTAAGGAGCTTACCACTAGGCTTAGCAAGGCTCTCTTTTGTCATATACCCCCTAGGCGGGCGGCTTCAGCCGCTTGCCTATATATAAGTAAGCTTTAGGTGAAGCTCTATAAGCTTAGGGACCATTTTTTGATAGTCTTTTGGGATTATCATATGATTATATATGATTTAGAGGCCTAATATATTGTAAATACCCTTATTTTTCAAACAATTCTATATAATTTTCTCCTTTAAATACTCTTATTCTATAAGCTCTCCTTATAGCTATATGCTTGTATATATAGCCCTAAAGAGCTTATAAAGCTAATATAAGTAGGAGAATATCATTTGCAATAGTCTATATCAAGTAGACTACATCTATACGCAAAGTATGTACCATCACCACTTACACTACAAATAAGTTATAAGATCTTGAAAAGACAATACTATAAGCTCGTCAGTAAGGCTAATCAAGCTTTATAATCGCTGCCTATTATACTGTCTCTCCTAATTTTAGAGTCGATAGTAATAAAGATGAAGATACTACTTCTGGTTTGTATGCTTATACTATCGTTAAAGCTTTATTAACGATTATATAGCCTACCCTTACCATAGTCACTCTACTTAGAGGGCTAAGTATAATGTCTTTTGCCTAGGTTATATCTAGTCTATATTCGTTAGAAAGAACGATAGCCAATGCTTTAACACTGTTAGGCACAGAAAGTGCTACTTTAGCTATACTTCCAGCCATTTATATATATCTGTCCCTACCGCCACTCAGCAAACAGCCAGTCTCCTATATATTACTTTATAGTAAAACCCTCTAGCTTCTAGCGTCATAAGTAAACTTAAAGATAAGCTTTAAGATATGCTTATCTTATACTATTAATATGCTTATTGCTGATAGTAATTATATAGAAGAAGAATCGTTTATATACTATCCTATATATAACGTTCGACAATATCCTTATGGTAAAGAGTAAGTAGGAGAATAAGGCTAGTAAGCCTAGGGAAGAGGAGGATAATGAGGATAAGGAGCTTGAGAATAGGCTAAACGTTGCTATACTCTCTTTATATATCTAAGCTGTATATACGATCATTTATAATATAATTGACGATATTTTTGCCTTACTTTATTAGTAAGCAGCATACTTTATATTCTAGCTTTGTTTACTTAGCGTTTTTTATTTTTAATTAAATTATTATAATAAATAGAATTTATAGCTTTATTATACTTACTATACTCTTTATTAAGCTTTCTTTTTATGCTAAAATTAGGTTAATAAGCATAGGATCTATCTTCTAAATCTATCAATCTTAACCTTCTTTATTTGTTAGAAGCTTTTGTTTACCTTTGATAGTATTAGGTATATAAGGCAATTAGTAAAAGCTTTTGTAGACTACTCCTTTCTAAGTCTTTTGCTTATTTATTTATAGTTAAGCTTATTCTATTTCTACTTACTATCTTCTCTTTTTAACTTAATATACCTTCTCAAGCTTAACGTATATACTCTACTATTGACAGCATTTATACCATACCTTACTTAGGCTATATAAAGAGTGTCTTAGCTGGTAAATCTGATGGCGTTTATAAGGATACTGTCGGTCATAGTGCTTACTGTTGGCGTTGTATGAGCAGTCACTAGTATATTATAGTGCCTGCCAATGTAGTATCTTTAGCTTACCAATTGACTATAATAATCTAAGGAAATAACCAAACTGTAAGTATCTTTGTTCCCTTAGTCTTAATATAAGCGTACTGACTATTATTAGGGTGTTTGTCGCCTTCGTATGACAATCTAGATCATTTTAGCCATACCTTCGGTCCTACCTTCGGCAGCTCTAGCGATCGCTCTGGCGCCGGCTCTAGAGCTTGGCGTCGGCATAATTATAGCAATTAGCGTAGGAGGAGATGATAATAGAGTGTCTATAGCTATTCTTGCTTGTTAGGCTAGGGTTAAAAGGCTTCTAAATGCTTTAGTAGATGAATTGATGAATTAGATCAGCTTTTTGCTTAATAGATATTGTTTTTCTCTTTTACCTACTCTCTTTTAGCTTTGATGCTTACTATAGATTAAGAAAGACTCTAAAGTGCTTGAATTATTGACAAGTAAGGTTCTTAGTAAGTCTATCTATAGGCATTTAGTCTATAAAGATGTAGGTGACTCTAAATAAGCCTACTAAATACTTTTGTTTAAGCCATATATTATGAATATTGATATAACATAGCTTAGTAGCTAATCTTATACTCTCTTTAATTACTAAGCAAATCGTTTGCTGATTATCATAGTAGATATTCTAAAGCTTCCTTAAATCTAAGCCTATATCCCTGAAAAAGCGCTTAAAAGCTATCGTTTCCTTCGCTATATAAGATAATGAGAGTAGCTTAGCCTTAGTCGTAGACATTGTTACAGTATTTTGTCAAACGGCTTACCATATAATTGATCCTTTAAAAAGCGTTAGAATATAATCATCTAACAACCGTCTTGTTTCCAGATCGTCAGCAAAAGATACATTATTAGCGATCAATAAAGCTTATACTTCTCTATTCTATCCTCTATATCTGATGCCTAAAAGGTATATCATAAATAGGTAATAAATCACCTAGGTTACTACTATAAAGTATATTTTGCTTAAGTTAGTAAGGAAATATGATAGTATAGATATAGCGAACGCCATATCTAGCCTTAGTATGATCGCTATATATAGTATAGAGTCAATTTACTCTTGATAAGCCTTTATTTCTGCCTTAAAGATAGTTCCTAGGTTCTTTTCGAGCTTTATAAACGACAATAAAATACTCAAAATATAAGCATTATTCGTAAGCTTAAACCTTATAGCAATCTTCTTAATATAAGCATCATAAGTAAGAGTTATCGTTTTTACCACTTTATTTTATATTATTTATATACTAAGAAACCATTCTATTACTTTATAGTCTTTTAATTTGTAAGTTACTTTAATCTCTTTAATTAAAGCTTCTACTTTTGCTAAATACTTTTTATGATAAAGTACTAGGATATCGTCTATATAGAAAACGATTATAACTATATGATCGTCATTAACAAAAAGATATAACTCTTCTATACTTAAAGTAAGCCTAAGCAGTAGAAGGATATTATAAAACTCCTTATACTATAGTAAGAAGGAATCTTTTAGTCTATAGAATACTTTTGTCACTTTTAGACATATTCTATTCTCCTTCATTCCTTTCGAAAGCTTATAATAGATCTAATCTTTATTATTCTTAAACGCTTAAAGAAAAGTATCTATAATATCGAATTGACGGATCTTTAAGTTATATTCAACTTTTAAAGCTATCGTTAGATAGAATATTCTGGCTGTAAATATAGTAGTATATATACTAGTAAGTATATTTCTCTCTTAAAAATCTTCTTATATTATTAAACAAACTTTATACTTAAGTAGATAGCTATTTTTATCGAATTTATAGCTAAACATCTATTTTAGAGGGAATAAACGTATAATTGTTTGTAAGCGCTTTATTTTGTAGAATATCTTTATTTTAATCATATTCTATACTTTTTTATAAGCTACTTTAGTGAATTAGCTTTTATAAAGATGATTCTAAAGCTTTCTCCAGTTTCTAAGTACTTTTTAAAGACTATCTTAGTATATAATAATGTTAGAATATACTCTTAAGGTTTCAAAAAGTAGTAGAAGGGTTTTTATATACTCTCTTATTTTATAAATCGCTACTATAATCATAGCATATAGTATTCTATAGACTCTATCTTCTTTATAGAATACTTTCTATTGATTAGATAAGAAAGTGTTTATAAAAGCGTTTTAATTTTAGCTACTTAATATTATTATTTTGTCTACTTAATAAGCTATTATAGTATAGATTCTACTCTTCTCTTTACCTTCTATAAGATCATCTAATAGTATTATCTTAATCCTTTAGCTTTAATATAAAGGTTAAGACTAAACGCTATTTCCCCTACCTCTTATATATCCTCTTAGACAGTCTTCAGACACTGTTAAGATACTTTAATACTTAGTAGAAGCTCTATCGTAAGCTCCTACCACTTTAAGAGTGCCTTTAAGTATTCTTAAGTTATTAGTAGATATGTTAAGACGTATTCTCAACTAGTCATTAGATATGCTATCATACTTGTCTTAGGCTTCTTTAGACGCGTTTTCTTCACCTTATATACTTACGATCTTATCATCACTACTTTCTGAAGCGACGATTATAGTATCTCCAACTAGAGATTTAGCTTAGAAGCTTTTTGATAAAGATCTAACACTTTTATCTTAAGCTACTATAATTATATCCTCTCTTTCTGGCTCTAGAGTAGGTAAAAAGGTTAGAACTCTTCGTTCATCTCTTCTTATGCTTATATCTTTCGATTCAAACATTCTGCTTATACTATATAAGCTTGTTTTAAATAT